GCCAGCCAGGGTCTGGGAATGACCAGGGGGACACATCTGATATATTGCTGGGCTATTCCCAAACCCCGCGGGTCAAACACGCCACGTGACTGGGCCTCTCCGCCCCGATGACGCCCGTTACGCTGGGGGAAAAAACAACTGGCGAGACCCCAATTAGGGGGAGGCTTCCCACTACAAGGGCGCATTGCTTGGCACTGCTTGGAATGGTGATTTGCACTTCTCGGCACTTCTCGGCACTTCTTGGCATTATCCAGCATTTACTGGCGTTGCTTTGAACTGCGTGTCGAGGCAGCAAGGAACCAAGACTAAGAAACTGAATAACCGAGAGGAAGGAACCAAGGAGCCAAGATCAAGGAGAAAAACCAAGAGCAAGGAACCAAGGCCAAAGAACCCAGGAAGGCAACAACGAATCAAGACCAAGGATTCAAGACCAAGAGAACCAGATAACGCCGCTGTGAGGAATCAACACCAAGGAACACCTGGGAACCCAATTGCAAATAATCGAAATCTAATCATCTCAAGGAACACCAGCGCGACCGCGTCCGGCACCCACTGTTTTGCCCACAAAAACGACTCCGAATGCAAAGCCTAATTTGGGAAACGCGGGGCCATGGAGGCCTCCGAAATGGAGCCAGAGGGGGTAGGATCGGAAGATCGTACCGCATCGCCGAGGCACCAAGGAAAGAGCAGGAGGAGGAGGAGGAGGAGGAGGAAAGACCAGGAGGAGGAGGAGGAGCAGGAAGAGAAGGAGGAGGAGGATAAAGAGCAGGAGGAGGAGGAGGAGGAGGAGGAGGAGGAGGAGGAGGAGGAGGAGCGCGACTTGCGCGCCGCTGTCCGCGCAATCGACGCCGCTTCCCTGCGTCGCTGACTCGCTCAGCCCTCCGCCTGGCCAGCCCGTGGCGCGCCGTCGGCGGCGGACGCGTGCTCTCGGCGGTGGTCACAGAGGCCTCCCGGCGTCTTGATGCTGTGCAAACGAGCGCGCTCGTGCCAAGGCGAGGGAGAAGGAGCGCAGGGCTTTTTTCTGGCCACGGCGAGCCTCGGTCGCGGATCCGTTCCCCGAGCTAGATCAGAGGAACGCCCCGAACACCAAACATCCCCTCCTGAGCCCAAATCGGTGCTCATCGACTGTGCTCGCGCGTTTTCCCTTCAACGGCCGTCGTGAGCCGTTCCCAGGCTGGGGGGCCATCACTTAACGACCCAGGACTGGCCATCGCTCGGACGTCCATTCCCTGTTTTTTTTTTGGTTTCTTGCGTTGTTTTTTCGCCAAATGATCAAGGATGCTCCTCGATGGTCCTCGCCGAAGAAAAAATGCATACGTCCGAGCGATGCCAGGAGGACCAAAAAGCAGGCCCGAGGATGGGGCCAAGAGCTCCTGGGCAAGAGAGCCCCCAAAATCGAATCGGTAAATTGCATCGGCGATCGAAAGGACTCGGATCGGCGGAACTCGCCGGCCGAGTCGGGAGAACTCGGGTCGGCGGAATCGGCAAGCTAGTAGGACTTCAATGAGGAATCGGAATCCACGTCGGAATCCGAAGTCGAATCGAATCGGAACCGGAAACCATCGCATTCGAATCGAATCGAATCGTAGGAATCGGAACGAGCCCTGTCTGGGCCCACGGACTAGACAAACCACGGTGTTGAAGGTCTAGACATGGCTCGACCTAAACAGAATTTGTCGTTTCGTTTTGTTTTCGTTTCCCTCGTCTTGTCTTCAATCCACCTTTACCGCCAAACGAAGTCGAAACGACAACGGCCCACGACATCGCCAAAACATCGTTTAGGTCTACCCCTGGGTCTAGACATGAGGACCATGGGGCCTGACTAGGGGGGTCCTGGACCTTGGCGGCTCCCTTGAGACCTTCTAACTAATGTTTCCACGACTCCTGAAACTTCCCCGGTGCCAAATATCAAAGAAGCTCTAGGGTCATGACATAGAGCAATATACTACACAGCATGCGCTTTGGTACGGTATGGCCCGTGATGATGATTGAACTGGGGCGGGATGCCTCCACCCAGCACGCCACCGAAACACAAAAACCCATTAACCAGAAACCACACGATCAAACGGGCGCCGCTCGCGCTGTTGAGCGAACCGGGCCCTCCCCCGGCTGCCGCGCGCGATGCTGGCGGCAGGGCCCTCGCTGGAGGGCATGGTCAGTGGGCGAAGAACGGTATGACACAAACTTTCCCGCTATCGGGGACGGCTGTCCCACGGCCTCTGGGATGTTTCTATCACGGCGTGCCGCCGTAGAGGTATAAACCTCCTACCAGCCGCCCTGGGACAGGCGACCCCGATGGCGGAAACGTTAATTTGCACATCATGCGTCGCCCGCCGAAAGAGGTGAGATGCGTCGCCAGGTTGGCGGATAGGCTGGCCGCAGCGGCGTCGCCCGTGCGACATGGAAGCTCGCCGACAAAAAGCTGGCCCTCCAATTCCCCCTCCCTGCACCTCTGCCACACCTCGCCCCTCTCCTCCTCAGGAGGAGGACGAGGAGGAGGAGGAGGAGGAGGAGAAGGAGGAGGAGGAGGAGGAAGAGGAGGGGAAGGAGGAGGAGGAAGAGGAGGAGGGAGGGGGGAGGAGGAGGAACAAAAACAAGACAGGACAAGACAAGACACGACATCCGAAGAGGGGGTCGACGTCGAATCGTCCTAGAAAGAGCCGCGGGGTATGATTTGCAAACAACCCTGCGATGAGTTATTGTGCCCAGGCCCATACTTCGTACGGGGGTAAGGGGCGTACCCCACGCTCGAAGGGAGCGAACTCCGAGGCAGGCCCCGTCACAGAGACTCGCAGATTGACGAGTCCCTACGGGTCACTGCGGGGGGAGCAGCTGCTGGCCTGTCCGCGTGGCCACGTTGGGGAACGCGCTGGCGAACAGGGTTCTCAACTGGCGAGCTCCCTGAACCCATCTTTGATTTGTAAGCCAGAGCTCATGCACTCCGAGATGTCCCCCCCCCCCCCCGAAGCTCCTGCACTCCGAGATGCCCTCGCTAGCGCGCTCAGCTCTCGCTGCGCTGAAACAGATGCTCCCCGCGCCGAACGTGCTCAGACATGCGCAACCTCTGCTCTTTTCGCCCTCTGCAAGGCAACACTTATTACATCAGAAAATATGCAGACAGATGCGGCGCATGCAGATTAATTGCACGACATTTCTGTTCATGGTTTTAGTGTCAGAGCGTGCGTATTTGTCTCCCACTTGGATAAAAACTCACAAAGGCACCCATTTTGAAACTGCGTCGTCAATTCTATTAAAAAAAGAACCCGCCGCTGAAAGCCAGTTGTTGCTGAATTTCCATCGCGGAAACATATTGGCCACATGGTTTCAACACTGCGTCGTGGACTGGGTCCAGCGTTCGGTCGTGAACAGATGTTTTCAGCTTCTGCTCTGTGACTGTCAATGACCTCTTGGACATGGATCATCTCTGCCGGCTCAATTTGACCTTGCCCCCGCCATATTTTGTGAAGAAGCCCAAACGCGCGTAATCCTACCAGCCCTCTGGGCGTCGGTGGTCTAGGGCATTTCCTCTTCCACCCCTCCCTCTTGCCCTTCGGGGAGGGGTTTACCCCTCCCCTTACCCCCTCCCCGTGGACCTGGACGGGAAGGGCGGGGAAGTGTCAGGGTGTCCAAAACGGCCTCGGCGAGAAAGACAAAATCATGGATTTTACTATGGTTTTGGCCCCATTTTGGCCTCCTGAGGGGGGGGCGCTAATTAGTGCCCCCCCCTCCTGTGATCGATCTCCTCCAAGATGGCCCCAAGAAACGCCCAGCGCAGCGAGATTCTCTCCGTCGCCTCTTCTGGTCTCGGCTGGCCTGCCGTTCTGGTCTGCGCTCGGTCTGAAGAGTAGGAGGAGGAGGAGGAGGAGGAGGAGGAGGAGGAGGAGGAGGGATGGATGGATGGATGGATGGATGGACTCGGCATTGCGCTGTGAGTCTGATGACACTCACCCCCACGAGCTCACGAAACGAGAGATCGTTCGGGGACACCTCTGAGCGATCGTGCGATCTCCTCGGACCGAACGAGGTCAGGCGCGTGGGCGCGCCGTGCAGCTGTGACCACCTTTGATCCGAGCCGAGCAGGACAGGAAACAGGAAGACGCCCGCGGGCGGGGGGTGATACCCCTCTGGCCCCCGGGGGCCGAGCTCGACGGCGCGGCGAGCACCGAGCAGGCTCCCTGGACACCCAGAGGCCCAGAGAAGGAAAAAAATACCAGGCCGAAACAAAAAAATATCCGACGGCGCGCCCAAGAGACCAGGGGCGGCGAGGGAGGCTAGAGGGGCATGGTGCTACAGCGAAGCTGCTGGAAGAACTCACGTCGCCGCGTAGTGTGATGGTTGCCCATCTCTTTCTGTAGGATCCGCTGCCGCAGCTGATGAAGTCGGGCTTCCCACGTCAGCCCTTGCGGCCGCCCTTGCCCTTCTGGCCGTGGTGGCTCTGTCGGTTCTTGTCGAGCAGCTTCTGGGCCATCGACTCCAGGTGGCCCTGAGGTGCCGCCCCCATCTTCTGGCGGCCGCCCTGCGCCTCGAGACATTTCGCGAGGCTCTGTTCGAGCTCGAGCTTGGATGCCGTAGTCTCCCGAGGGCCGTCTGGGTTGTCGTTCTTCAGCGTGATCTGGTCCGCGAAAGCGAACTGCGCCCTGGCGTACTGGTCGTTGTAGCACTTGCGCAGCCTGAAGTGACGCACCATCAGGCATAGCTCCGAGCCCGTCACCTCGCAGACGAACTGCTGGTAGAAGGTGCACAGGAGCGCGCGCCCCTGCGGGGCCTTCTGCTTCGCCTCCTCGGAGGCCGACAGGCACTTGAACACGGCGTGAGCGATGTACAAATGTGGCGAGTTGAGCTGGGGCTTCGCCTCGGGGACCTGCGCCGCCTCTGAGCGCAGCTTGCCCGCCTCCCGAGCTGCGACGATCGAAGTGGCTGTGGGCGGGGGCGCGATGCTGATCCATTCCGAGGCGGCGAGGTCCCTGAGCTGCTGGGCGCGCTGGCACGCCATCTTGAGGAGGATCGTGACCGCCTGCTGCAGGTCGCGCGACTTCAGGGCGCCCTCCACCGCCATCAGGGCATCCTCCGAGGCGTCGGCCATGGAGGCGATCGCGGGCCCGCGCTGGCGCTTGTCCTTGGGCTCGACCTTCTCGCCTGCGGCGCCGTCCGAGGGCTTGTGCCGCTTGAGCAGCGCGGAGAGGCCCATTTCTTGCTGGGCGGGTGGCGCCATCGCCGAGGAAGCCATCGCGTCGCAGGGCGCCCTGGAGACGAACCCGCGGCTCAGGAAGAGAACAGTGGCCGCGAATATGGACCTGAAGAGCAAGAAGGTCTCGGGCATAGTGGCTGCGTACGGGGCACTGTAAGATGTCAGACACCTGGACTTCATGCGAAAGGAAGCTGCTTCGGCCTCGGGTGCAAATATTACGAACGTAGCTGCGCATGACGTGGCGCTGTGCGTTTTCTCTCGTACTGAGGACCTGGAGGCATCTGAAACACTGGCTCGTCACCGTGAGGAGGGAGGCCTCGTTCCGCACCCTGTGGACCCTGTTGGCATGCATGAGGAGGGCCTTAATGGAGCCGAAGGTGTCCCCGCAGAGGTGCCCGTCGTCGTCCGTCATCTTGCATCTGTAGGTAGGAGGGCTCGGCTTGCGGGGGGGGTCGGGCGCGCGGGAGGCGGGCGGAGGCGTCGCCGGCGCCCCGCGCCCCCGGGGGGCTCCATGTTGGATTTCCCAGGCTGCGCCAAGCGCGCGCGCGCTACTTGCCCGCGCGCTCACATTCGCGCAAGCGCATCCTAAGAAACTATGATTTGGATCGGAACCGGGCGACAACGGGCATGGGGCGCCTGTCAAGGCTGCTTTTGGGAGCGATTGCTGCTTGCTCGACGCGCGCGATATGCATGTAACGACTTTTGGAGGACGGGCGCTGCGCCGTCCAATCCAACGCGGCAATGGCGCGGTCCGGGGCGCGCGGCCGTCGCGGCACGCGGCGGTCGACGTGGCCGCGTGGGGCGCGCGATCGGCCGCGCGGTATTTGCGGGCCATTCGGCCGATGCTGCCGGGTCGCCCTCAAACAGCCCGCCAGGAATACGCAAATGCGCAATGCGCCAGCGCGCCGCCAGGATATCGCCCTGAAAACAACTTGTTCACTCTGAACGCCGACTGCGCGCCTCGCTGAACCAGCGAAGTCGCGCGGCGCGCCCGCGCCGCGGACCCGCCGCAATGAACTCGCGGGAAAAAGGCCTCTCTCCATGGGTTCTGGCACCGATTCTGGCCTACTTCCCCGTTCTGGCCGATTCTGGTTCTATCGCCGATTCCTCATTTGATTCCGTGCTGATTCCGTGCTGATTCTTTTGATTCCGCTAGAATCAGGGGTCGCAGTTGTGCCGATTCTGTTTTGATTCTGTACGGATTCCGCGCTGATTCCTTTGATTCCCCTGTGCCCCGGGGACCATCAGGCCGCGGCCCGAGCCCCCGCCTCGGCGGCATGGTTTTTCCAGGAGCGCGGAAGAGTTTTGAGGGGGAGGGGGGCGGGGGGGGAGGCGGAGCGATTCTTGGGGCGCATCGGGCGGCCGAGCCGCAGATTTCCGGGCCCAGTGCGCGCGCCCAACATGGCATGCGCGGGCGTGCGCGCGAGTTCTCGACCGTCAGCGCATCTGTAAGTTCATGCCCCGCCCCGCGCGCGGGAATGGAAACTTGCGTTGCGGTTTCCAATTTAACGCGCGGCCGTCGCAACTGCATCGCATTGCTCAGCGCGCAAAGCGCGCAGCACGGGGGCTTTGCGTTCTCGCATGAGAAGTGCGCGGGACCGAACCGAACGGTCGGCGGCGCCCGCTCCTGCGCCGCGCGCGAGGCCATCGCGTCAGCGCTGGAGGCTGCAGGTGGCCTGGGGCGTCGCCCTGGGGCGCGGACACAGCGCGAGGCCCGCGCGGGTCTCTCGCGCGGAACATGCGCAACACGGTCGGCCCGCCCGCCGGCTGGCGCTCGCGGGCGACGCGACGCCGGCGCCGACTGCGAGGCCGACTGGGCCCGGAGGATTCCTGAGAGTCCCGAGAAGGGGCAGCGGGCCGCGATGGAATCGGCGCGATCGTCGGCGCCCCCCCCGCGCCCGCCCCCCCCTGCAAGCCGACTCCTCCTATCTGTAGGGCCGCAGCCTGCCTTCGTCTTCCCCTCGTGATAGCTCGTCGTCGTTGGGGCCCCTTTGGAGGCCAGGCGGGGCGAACTGGTGGCAGAACGTTTTGGATCTCAAGATGGTGAAGTCAACGTAGGCCCAGTTTTTGTGATCGGAGCAGTAGAATAGCTGTAGTAGGGGGACGTCTTCGGGAACGTGGTCCTGGAACTCTTCCGACTGGCAGCGCGCAAACTCGAGGTCCGATAGGACCTGCTTTGCCCATGGATTAGCGTCGGGGTGAAGGGTGTAATCGGATTTCATGGAGTCCCCGTCTCCGATGCCCCCCAGGATGCACGCTCGAACCTGCCGGTGGTCTGAGGGGTGGCGGCACCATGACTGATACCATTTTAGTCTGCGAACTCGTAACTCCTCAAGGGTAGGAAGAAGACGCCAGTGCTGCCAGAGCCGACGGGCAGGCCAGCGATGCAGTTCGCCGTCAGCCTGAGGTTCCAGGCCCCGTCGACCGAGAGCGCGGCGGAGCGCGCGAAGTACTAAAGCGTCCGAAGCGGCGGCAAAGCTCTTGTCTGGGATCCGACCCTCCATGCCTGAAAGAAGGGCACCCTGCGCGAATGAGATCACCGTGGGCTGCATCATGGACCAGAAAGTTCGAGATCATTCCTAGACCCAAGCGTCCTGCCTGGAGTCGCTTCGCCTTTTCAACCTGTAGAGAGCCCGTAGAAGTAAGCCAGCCTCCAAGAATCCGAAGGCGCCGCCCCAAGACGCCGCGGTACTGCCAGGAGCCGCCATAGAGGAGGCGCGTCAATGTGTTACTGCGAGGTCCCGAGATCCGAGCCACCGAGGCCCGCTTGTCGAGGTTGAGGTGCACCCCGATGGTCCCGAGGGTCTCCGAGAGGTGGTTACTGCGGTCGGCGACCTGGCCCAAGAAGGAGGAAGCCGCGGAGCCCAGGGGGGTGCCCACAGGAATCTCGTCGGGGATCACCGTCATCGTGATGTCGTCGGCGTAGATCGTAATGCCTACGTCCGTGGTCGTCTCGTCGATCTCGTGAGCCTCCGTCAGGACCTGGGATCTCGAATGGGCCCGACGTGCCAGAAACGGGGTGATGCCCTCGAGGTAGTAGTAGGGGAATGCGCGGGCGGGATTCGGGTGACCCATGAGCTCTCCTGAGGTCGGGCGCAAGGCGAGGGGGCCCTCCATAGTGTCGATCTGGCAGGCGCTGTTGGTGGTCCTAGTGCGCTGGAAACAAAGATCCTCGGCACGGTAGAGCGAGCCTAGTGTGTCGTAGATCACGCTGCGATCTGTGCTCGCAAAGGCGTCGGTGGCGTCCTCATTCACTATCATGTGTGGGATCTGGAGTTGACCGAGGCGCCAGGAGAGACAGGCCTGTGCCGCAATGGCGTCCTCGCGCCGCCGTCTGCGGGCGAAGCCGTGACAATAATATGGTAGTGCTTCCCGCTCGGATGTGTTCCGCTGCCACAGGTGAGCGTGCCAGCACTTCCCAATCGGGCAGAAGAGGTGAATCCACCGCATGCTCGCAGGCCCAGACTTGCCGTTGCGCTTGTCCAGGCCCACGCAGGATGAAACGTCAAAGATCAAAGGGGTGGAGTCCGAGCGCCTGAAGCTGGCGAGGATGTCGACGAACTTCTCCTGAAAGGCGAGGAACGTCGTGGGATGCTCGACGTGCCCCACTCCTCCAAGCCGATACTGTTCCCATTGTGCGGGGTCGAGAAGCAGAAGCCAGAGCTCCGAGGGCATGGACCACGCGGGAGGAGGAGGAGGAGGAGGAGGAGGAGGAGGAGGAGGAGGAGGAGGAGGAGAGATTGGTCTGTCGTGCTACTTGTGATTGCTGCTGGTCTGCCGCACTGGCCTGCCATGCTGGTCTCCCGTGCTGGCCTGCTCGCTCTGGCTCTGGTTCTGGCTCTGGGCTCGTCCGCCGTGCCGGTCTGTCGTGCCACGTGCTGTCTCGGCTAGCATGTCGCACTGGTCTGCCGTGCTGGTCTCCAGTGCCAGGACTCACGACACTTGATAGAAGTCAAAGAATCCCCCCACCCCCCATGCTAACCACCCCGACACGCGAAGTCGTTTAGTAAGCGCGCCCAAAGAAGGAATCAGACAGGGCAAGGCTGTCTCGCAAACGCCCAGGGCCGCTTAGTGAACGCCAATTGTCTGGTCCGGGTGGTTTTTCCTCCCTTGACTTTACGGTGTTTGCCTCATGGGGCTCTCGTGATGCCTCTTGGCTGCCTCTCGGAGGCCTCTAGGGACCTCTTGGGAATCTCCGAATGGCACTTACAGAACTCTGGATGCCCCCTGGACCCAGCGCAGCGCCAAGACTAACCGGGCTTTGTTGGACCTCGTTGAACTTCGCCCAAAATGCAAGAAGTCAAAAACGAGCGAACGCCCATGTGACACACGACGTTGGCCTCTTGAGGATCTCGCCAACGCCCTCGTGGGGCCCTCTTGGGCAATTGAGGTCATCTCGACCAATCTCGGAACGATCTTGGACCGTCTTGGCGGGCGTCTCGCGGGCCGCGCCGCCGTGTCTGGCCTTGCCGGGGCCGATTTGGAGGGCAACCATTCAGGTCTTACAGTGATCCGCGCTAACTGCAGGAGTTGTCCTGCTCTGTCAGGGGAAGGCCCTCCCTTGGGTCTGGAACGAGCGGGCCCGTGGTGTCAGACGGCTCTTTCAGGTTCAAGGCGGCCCCAAGATAGCCCCGATGTGCCACAGTGGCTCCCAAAATGGCAGAAGATATCCGAAGATTGTGCAAGCTAGCCTCCGACACACATCCGAGATGCTCCAACTTCTCCCCAACAGGACGGCTCCACGCGCCCTCGGAGCCCTCGGAGGAAACCTCCAAAGAAGCCAACATCGACGGGAAACCAATGACTGTTGCCCTCTCGAGTCTTGGCTTACGATAGGCCTCTGGATCCGCAAGGTGGCCCTAAGACGGCCCCCATGGGGCTGGCAGTGCGGACTCCGCCGCCGCCCGGCCAGTGGGCTCCCCAAGTGCACCAACTGCGGGCTCTAAACGTGGGACTGAGCCGAAACGGTATGTTCCGTTTTCGTTATGTTCCCGTGCTCCCTCGTTTTGTCTTAAATCCGCCTTTAGCGCAAAACGAAGTCGAACCGAACACGGTCCACGAAAACGCCAAAACATCGTTTAGGTCCAGCCCTGCTCTAAACGTGGGGCGGGCATCCAGCTGGGCCCGCCTGTCTCCAGAGGCACGGGATTTGGTTCTGTAGACGGCGCTGGTGCAATCCCGCGGCTGGCGGGATTCTCCATGGCAGCCGCAAGCAATGGCGAGACCGCGGACGCAATTCGTGACCGGGCGGGATGGTTCCGCCATCGTGAGACGACCTTCCACAATTCCCAACCGTCCTGAAGAAGACACGTGATGATGACAACCATCCTGTGGCGCTGGGTCCTCGATTTGAAAACAAAAAAAAAAAAACGCTCCTCGTTCTCCTCCTCCTCTGCTCCTCCTCCTCCTCCAATCCACCCATCATCACCACCACCATCATCATCATCGCCGTCACCATCACCATCATTTATCGTAATCGACCATCATCGTCATTACTGCAAACCTGTGACACGTTTCGTGGCCCCATAGGGGGCTCCACCAGAGGCCCCCGTGGCATAGTTCGCATGTGGGCGTTGCGCCCCTTTGGGCACACACCTCATTCACACGTTTCGTGGCCCCATCGGGCCCCAGTGGCACAATTCGTATGTGGGCGTCGCCCCCGTATCGACACATCCCTCACACGCTTCGTGGTCCCATTGGGAGCTCCAGTTAAGGCCCCGATGGCTTAGTTCGCATGTGGGCGTCGCCCCCGTTTCGGCACACCCCTCACATGTTTCGTGGCCCTACAGGGAGCTCCTATCAATGTCCCAGAGGCACAATGCGCATGTGAGCGTGACCCGCGTTTCGGCACACCCCTCATACGATTATTGCCCCCACAGGGAGCTCCAACTAAGGCCACAATGTCGCAGTTCGCATGTGGGCGTCGCCCCCGTGTCGGCAAACCCCTCACATGTTTCGTGGCCACACAGGGAGCTCCACCTACAGGCCCCGTGGCACAGTTCGCATGTGGGCGTCGCCCCCGTCTCGACACACCCCTCACACGCTTTGAGAAGCTCCAGCTAAGGCCGCAATGTCGCAGTTCGCGTGCGGGCGTCACACCCGTTTCGGCAAACCCCTCACATGTTTCGTGGCCCCATAGGGCGCTTCACTCAAGGCCCCAGTGGCACAATTCGCATGTGTGCGTCGCCCCTGTGGCGGTGTTCCCATGCGCCTCCTCCCGCCCCATCTCGGCACCCCCCTCACACGATTCGTGGTCCACATGAAGCGCTACCGAAATCAATACCTACAGCTGCGGCAAGCACAGCTGCATGTGGCTGGGTCCTTCGCCAAGCTAATTGTTTCAAGGATGCAGGTCCCCGTCTGGAACTGTCGTAGCTTGGCCTCATCGTCTGTGATCGCGCTGGTTGGCGCACGCCCAATCGACCCTTCGAACCTCCTTCGCTTCGAGAACGGTCTTCCGCTCCCCTGCTTGTGTAGTAACACGCCTCTTTATCTGGCACTTCCGTCTCAACATTCACCGTGCCGTCTTCTTTTCAGGCGCCTGCCAGCACTCGCAAGTCTGGCCTTCTTGCCTGTGTCTTCTCGCGGTGCGCTATGCTGGATGTTCCGTCCCGATGTCTGGCAAGATGCTCCGCGCCGCGACGCACTGCATCCGTAGCAGCCCTTGTTGTCAACGTGTTCTTATTCGGCGTTTCGACATCAGGCGGAAGGGGGGGCCGCGCTGATCGTCAAAACAATGAATAAGAAACCGATCGCTTTCTTTCTCTTTCTCGCCGCTGCGCTGACATCGCAACGGTGGCGCAACGCGGCCCTTCGCGCCGCCGTCCATTTGCGGTTTGCAGAAGGCGATGCCGTGGAGCAGGCACGCCCGCACGCAAGACCACGTGGCGAGCAAGGTCTGCCTCCTGCTGCTTCTCCTCCCACATCCCCTCCCCTCCACCGCATACTCCCTCCCACCCTCCTCCCTCCCTCCCTCCCCCCTCCTTCCCACGGTTCCTCCCTCCTTCCCCGTCCTCCCTCTTCTCGCGCCTTCCCTCATCTCTTCCTCCTTCTCCGCCTCCTCCTCCTCCTCCTCCTCCTCGTCTCGTTATCGTCATTTTCCTCCGCATCATCATCCTTCTTCACCATCCCCCTTTCCTCCTCCTCCTCCTCATCCTCCTCCTAGTTGTCGCCGTCCCCCCACCTCCCTCTCCCTCCACAACCGCGACCAGGCGGCGGCACAACCCTGGCAAGGCTTGGCGCCAAACTGTGACCACGTGGGCTGGCGGGGCCAGGCAGATGAAAAAAGCCCCGCGGAGGAGCGGAGGAGGGCGGGCGGGTCGGGGCGGCAAAGGGGGAGTGGGGAGAAAAAAAAAGGCCTGCTCCCCCCCCCTGGGGTGCCCTCATGCCACGTCTGCTACAATTGGGCCTAGGCCAGAAGAGCATCCTTGTGGACGCCTGAAATGGGTACGGAAAGAATGGGTACAGTGCCCAACAACACATGTTGTCCCAAACCAACAGCGGCCCCTGTTGGGCAGGCGGCCTTCTGTCTCGAATGGGCACAGGCCGCGGCGGCGCGGACAGCGAGTCCTGTTCAAAATGAGCAGGAACTGCTGTTGGGCATTGTACCCATTCTTTCCGTGCCCACTTCGTTCGTGCAGAATCCTTCCAGAACGCGAAGCCCTCCGCAGGCAAGCACACACTGAACAGCCCAAAGTACCCCCCCCCAGGGTGCACAAGAACATGCTACAAAGACGGAAGATAATTAGGGTACCCTCCCTGAACCGATCTTGATCTTATCCCTCGGTCCTATTGCATATCGCGGTGAGCAGTAGACCACCAAGAGAGATAAGTCTGGGGGGGGCAGGAACAGGCAAACCGCCTGAGTCATCACCACAATCTGAGCGCGCGTTTGGGAGTGTACTCGCCGCTGGCGGAGCGGCTCTCCGCTGGGGAGCCCACGTGCCATGCCCAACAGGAAGAGGCACGGGGGAGGTAAGGAAGGGGGGGGGAGAATCTCCGGATCCTCCTCCTCCTCCTCCTTCCTCCGAACCTCGAGGATCGTTCCGTGGGCTGTGGAGTCGGGGGACGCCAAGGGGAGAGGGGGGGGGGAGGAACCTCCTGCCCTTTCTTCTCCTCCTCCTCCTCCTCCTCCTCCCTCCTCGATGTTCGAGTGTCGTTCAGTGGGCTGCGGATCCAGGCGAAGAAATCACATGGGGGAGCGGAGAAGGCGGGGAGCGGGAAGCACGGGGAGAGGCCTGGAGAGGGGGGGGGCGAGGACCTCCTGCTCCTCCTCAGTCTGGAGAGCGCAACACATCTACCGTTCCCGTGATTAGGCTCCCTCCCTTCCTGACCTGTTGAAGTCCGAGGATCAATGATCACTTACACATGTAGGGGCCCCTTCTTGGGCCTCACGATCCTATGGGGCCTCCTGTGCCCGGTGGAGGGAGGAGATGTAGGGCGATGAGTGGGTGGGGATGGGTGACCAGACGCACAAGACGAGACATAATCATAACCTTTCGCGACAATTGGTGTGTATGCCGCTGCTTATTCTTTGGGTGATGAGGGGAAGAGGGGGCGGGATACAAGCTAGGTGCGCTAGCGCCACATCTGACGTCCTGCCACTCCCTCCCATCCCTTACCATGGCGTTGATCCCCTATCGATTCGCACAGTCGGATGTCGAGCAAAGCAATGACCCCAAGAAGGTACGCGATGGATGGAAACGCATGGCACGGACGGGCACGGCAGAGCATAACATGTCATAGCATGGAGGAGGGGAAGGGTGAGAGGAGGGGTCACAGACAGCAGGGGGGCGGGGCGAACAACCAGGGAGGACGGCCAGGAGCAGGAGCCGAGGGAGGGGAGACGGCACTGACGAGGAGGGCACCGCATCCACAGCAGCGGAGGCCCGCGCTGGGGCGAGAGCACCATCCTGACCAGCGGGGGCAGAGCTCGACTCCTGAAGTGTGTCCAAACGCTGCATCGGGCACGCTCATCTCGAGAGACCTCAAACGTTCGTGTCGAAGTGGCCGATATCAAGACATCAACCCTGGAGACCCCGGGGCGCGTTCCACAAACGCTACGAGGCAGAGGCGGGCGCCGACGGGCGCCATGTCGGGGGTGGGGGCAGAGTAAGATTATGTTTGCTTACCTGCCGAGGTGGGAGGGGGAGGGAAGAAAAAGAGAAGGGGGGGAGATAGGGACAGGCGGGATGAAGGAGGGGGGAATATTGAAGGAGGCGGGAGGGTAGGATCAGTGGTAGGAGTGGAGAGATGGGGAGGAGGAGGAGGAGGAGGAGGAGGAGGAGGAGGAGGAGGAGGAGGAGGAGGAGGAGGAGGAGGAGAAGGGGGAGGAGGAGGAGCAGGAGGAAGCATCAGGGGATCAGGAGGACGAGATGACGAGACAAAGAGGGAGGGGTGCGCAGGCGAGACGGATCAATCGAATGACTATGAGTGGGCGGATTAAGAACAGGAGCAGGATGCAAAGGATAATGTGGAAGCTGAAAACGAAAACTCTAGACACCCTCGAATTGCGCCTGTCATCCTTGCGCAAAGGCCATGCGAATATTCTCTGCATCGTTCCAAATTTACCGGGTGGTCCCCGAAGGGGGTCCACGGACGGTCACCGAAGGGAAGTCGAGGAATCCACGAAACCCAGGATGTGGAGGATGAGAGGATTGAGGAGGAGGACGAGGAGGGGGGCAGAGAAGATGTAGGGGGAGGGATAAGGCTATTACCACTGAGAAGCGATGACCATGACCACGAAATCGAACGAAAGAACGCAATGCGGAAACAACGTTACAGTCACAACTACTGTTGATAAGCAGGGGGAGCGTGCTAAGGACAAGGATAATGATAAGAGGGAGGAACACCAGGATATGCGGAAGAGAAAAGGGGGCTAGAAAGCGGGATGAGCGGACCAAGCAGCGGCAGCAGGGGGGAGGTGACTAAGGAGAACACCATATGAACCAGAACAGGATAATCATATATCATAGGGAAGGAGAGGGAGGGGAAGAAGGAGGAAGAGGAGGAGGACGAGGGGAAGGAGGAGGAGGAGGAGGCGGAGCAGGAGGAGGAGGAGAGAGCAGGAGGAGGAGGAGGAGGGGGGGGCAGAACATGAGGAGGACGAGGAGCAGCAAAGTCAAGGGCAGCACTATAAGCACGGTGGCGGGGAGGATCTGGGGGATGAAGATGGGGGGGGGAAGACACGCAGAAGCAGGAAGAGCGGCACGGGGGCCGCGAGCAGGAGCGCAGCGGCGGGAGGGGGGGGGAACTAGGAAGCCCGAGGCAGCGGCTGCCACGAGCCCAGCACGCTGGCGAGCACAAGCCCGAAGCGCGCGTGCCACGCGAATTGCGGGAGCGGCCCGCCCATGCATGCCCCCTGGACCTGTTGGGGGGCCACATGCGAACCCTACCCCTACCCCCCACGATTTCTGGGGGGGGAGGGTGGGGTTCACTCCGTTCGGGAGATCCCGAGCGAAGTGAACCCCACCCTCGCCCTCAGAAATCGTGGGGGGTAGGGGTAAGGTTCGCATGCATGCCCCCTGGACCTGTGGATACCTGGGTCCGGAAGGAGGACATCACGCTGCGTCGTGCAACCGAGCAGGGAGTGCGAGGCTAGAGGTTGTACAGATCCACGGGGAGAGCTTTCGGGGCCTACTCATCCCCCATGCAGGTCACCCCCCATTGCCACCCGCCCGGCGCTCCGGGGGCCTGCACATCCTGGGTCGCTTTGCTAGGACGAAGTCACGGCCATGACTGAAGCAGATGAGGACCAGTCGAGAGCCTCTGAGATCTGAGGGGCCACATGAGGATGTCTCCGGAGCCGCGGCCTTCTCTGAGTATCGTTCAACCCATCCCCATCCCCAGCGGCGTGGCCTGGGCCCCACTCGCCGATTTACCCCCCTGGATGGGGATATAGGCCGTTCCCTTCGGGTCTCGAGGGGTGCATCCCCAACTGGGGCGGCAATTTGGTGGGGGTCTCGAAGGGGATGGGGATGGGGATCGATTAAACGAAACCGATTCTCAGAGCGTTCCGGGGCGCTCTGGAGCGGATGTATCCTCGTCCTGGCCCCGCCCGATCTGCCGACGGCTCCAGGGGCAGGGGATGGGCCCCTTGAAGGCCGAAGACGGCGAGAAGAGCCCCTGGCAAGGAGCCCCATTCCCTCAGGGCTCCATTGCGCCATGGCAGGGTCAGTCAGCATCGAATCGGGTCATCGGCTCGGATCGGAACGTGCGTCGGATCGGGCTGCATCGGCACGGGCCAAAATCGAATCGGATCGGCTGCGCCAGTATGCACAACAACGCCATGCAAACGTGGGCCGCATCGGATGGTCGGAATATCGGAACCGATTCGGATCGGGCCAGCGGGCGGGAATCGATGGTGAGCGTTTTCGTAGTCGACGTTTCGACACATTGGGCGGAAAGGAGGGGGGGGGGTCTGGCTCTGGACGTCTGCTTAGTGGGATTGTTTGAGACAGTGGGTCCTATAGCCTGCTCGAAACATGCGCCAAAAACAGCCCCTCGCCATCGCTCGGACGTCCATTTCCCGTGCATTTTTCGGTTTCGTGCGTGTTTTGTTTGCTCGATGGTCCAGGATCGTCCTCAGTGGTTCTCGCCGAGAAAAAATCCACACGTCCGAGCGATGCCAGGGCCCAAATCTACTCAAAGGGGGGGGGAGGGGGAGGGTGCGAGGACCTGCGCCGATCGGCAAAACAATGTACAAGAAAACGAAGACGGACTGATGTCAGATCCCCCCCCGTCGCTGCTTCCGCGAGGAGGCGCTCGGCCGGACGGGGGCCCCACGCGCTGACGCACGCTGCTGCACTCTGTGCGCCCCCGACGCTGGCCAGGCCCCCGCGTCTACACGGGGGAGACGGGGCCCCCTGGATCGGCGGGACCCTGGGGGTACCCAATGTCGGGGGCGGCCAAGAAGGGGGTGTCCAAGAGCGGGGGGGTGCAAATCATGACCGGCTGCACGTGCGCAGCCCAGGGGGGGTGGGGGGCCACCAGGGACGCAATGAAACAAGAAGAGGCGCCACGAAGTCTGAGGAGACATCATGACCCCCGCCATGATATCCCCCCCCTAGTCATCACCTCATCACCCCCCCTCCGCGGCGGTGGACAAACCTCCCTTTAGTAAACCTCCCCTTCAAGGAAACGGCCTGGGACCGAAACCGACGGACCTGGACCCGCAAATATGACGGCCGCGACGCCCTCTCGCGAACCGAAAACGGCAAATTCCTTCACGGACGCGTCAGGGTAGGAGGTCCATCCGCCTCCGACCTCCCTCTTGGCCCCCCCCCCCCCGACAGTAGACGGGGGCTTCTTGGCCGATGCGGGGAGCTGACGCCCTCCCCGCCGCTCTCCTGCGCCCTGCCGCGCGAGAGCGGCGCGTTCCTACGCACCTTCCTTACCAGCCTGGAACATATCCCTATCCCTATGCTGGGCACCTCCTCATCACGATGCCAAGCTTAGGGATTCCCTTATTTTTTTGAGGGCGAATCCCTAAGATTGTCATCGCCTTTTGGCGTGTCAATCTTAGGGATAGGGATACGTTCGAGGCTGGTAACTTCCTGCGCGCTGCCGGAGCGCCCGTTGCTGCGTGCTCGTCTCGGAGGCGCCGACTGGACATTTCACACCCGCTCCCTGCCTCCACAGTCCGCCACTGGGCACCGGGACCGTCCACAAAACAGCCCAGGACCCTGGGCAAGCGGGCCAATGACACGCAGGGGACGGCCCGAAGGACCCCAAGAGGGCCACGAGAGAGCCCCAAGAGGGCCCCAAGAGAGCACCGAAGGCCTCCGAAGTTTCCACCCGAGGGCTCCAACTATGGTCCAAATACGCTGGCAAGCGGCTCCCATATCGAAAGATCCGCGAAGGGTTATGCACAGGCAAGTGACCCCTGTTGCGCGGCCCTAACCTTTCGCGCGACCGAAAAAGCACTGAGGTCTACGGCCATCGTGCCACCATAAGGAACGCCAAAGAACAATTATGAAGGGGCCATGGGGCACACAAATAAACAGACACAAATAACATGATCCCCCATATTTTCGCATATGCTCTTTGTTGTTGTCTTCTCCCCCACTTCCCAGATTTTCCCACATCTTCTGGTGAATCGACGATTTAGTGTGTCTGTGTGCTTTTTTCCTCCTGAGACCTGGCGGTCGATAGCTAGAGCCCCTCTTCCTGAGCCCACAGCGATCCTCGATTCGCAGTGTTGACTGTCGTGCTCGTTCCTCGAGGCGGGCGCAGCGGAGGGGGGGCGACATAATTGGAGGGGGGATCGGCTGCATGTGTAACTGGTTTTCCAGGCGCCTCCCAGCGCGGGGGGGCGCCCACGCATCAAGAAGAGAGCGGCCGGCGGCGGCGCCGAAACCGGCTGCAAGTTGCACACAACAGATTCTGTGCCCCGCTCCCCTTCCCGTTCCCCCCTCTCACCCGACCCGATTGCCCTGAGGTTCGACGCTGCAACGTCGCGACAACTCACGAGCGCAGTCCCGGAGCCCATCCTTCTGCCCCAGTCGTCGACCCCGATCGATACGTGCAGGCCCCGAGAGGCCCGAAACCAGGCGAGAACGCCTGGCTCAGCAAATCTGGAAGCCAGGATCTCATGGAAGGCCTGTTTCGGCTACGCGCCAAGAGTGACCCCAGGCAAGAACGACCTGTGGTGCCCGACCTCACGGGGGACGCGGGATGGCCAATCCCAGGCGCGCCAGCCGCTGCTACCGCTTCGCGTTCAGCGATCGGGGGACCCCGTTGGGCCCGCACCAGCGGTCACTCTGGCGACAGGCCACTCTTATCGATGATCCACGGAACGGCTCGGCGCCAACGTGCGCTTGTCCACCGATCTCCTTCAACACGACGCAGGCGGCGCAAAGAGGGCCGACACAGACGACGCGCTATCGGCGGAGCCGAGCGGGGTAACACACGTGCTCCGGCGGGGCCGAAAAGAGGCCCTAAAGCGCATTTTTCTTCCCCCTATTTGGGTCACCCCCCGTTACCACCCGCCCGAACCCCATTGCGCCCGCACCGAAAGTCAATTCGGCGAAAGGCCACTCTTGCGTCTACCGCTCAGGGCCCCTCCCCCCGCGGCGGCCACGGCGCGGACGGGGGGGTCGCGCCGCGGGCCAGGGATACTCCGTGCCCTTCAGCGGCGGGAGGCCGCGGAAGCTCAGATAGCTGTGATCCGCCCTTCCCCGCAGGGTCGCTCCTGCGCGCGCTCCTGGATTTCGGTTTTGGGCGTGGCTTAAGAGTTAGGTCGGGCGTGTTCCCCTGCAGGCGGATTTTACACGAAAACTGAAAAATAGTCACCAAATACGCTCGAACATACTCAACAAATCGTCCCATAAGGATTTTTGACTACTTTCGAATATTCCTCCTGTAGAAGGACATGCCCGACTGAAGGTTAGAGTGAAGCGCTAAGTCCCAGGCAGCGACGGGACCGAACGAGGGCCCGAACAAAAGGCGAACGAGCAAGTGCCAGGAGGACAGGCACCGCGGCGGAGCGGGGGGACAGCGACCGAGCGGAGAACCCGAGGCCCGCGCCCCTGCGATCGGCCGCAGGACCCTGGGACCGCAGGGGGAACGGCGACCCCCGTCCCCAACGTGGTGCCTTGCTGTGTGGCTCCGAGACGGGCCATGACTTTGGGGCCCGTCTCGGGGATATGCGATGAGGGGGGCGTCCATCTTCGATGACCAGGGGTGCAGGGGGGCCATGGCGGATACACCATCGGGGGGCCATGTGTCATGTGTCATGGGTCATGACGGATGACTCATGGCTTTCCCTTCGATTTTCCGCGGCCATGCTTTTGGGGGCCCTTCGAGATATCGCCTGGACGGTGGGAGGCCACTCGCTCGCGGCGCCACGCGGGAAGCTGGCGCGTGCGGACGCCCACGCAGGCGGCCCCGCTTTGCTGCGTCGCGCACGCGAGAAGGATCGATACCCAGCGCGGCCAGTGCCGCGAGGAACCCTGCAAGACTTTTTCTGTCGGCGGCGAGGCGGGGCAATCCGCTCCAGCGTGGCAGCGATGCAGGGTCTCTACAAAGCGAATCGGCCGGCAGGCAAGGAGGGACAGGCAAGAGGAGGGAGGAGGAGGACAGGCAAGGCGGCCGCGGGGACGAGGGGAGGGTGAGCACTCAGAGGCGGAATACTTGCGTCATGAGCAACCCTCGCAAGACACCCAGTCCTGGAACACGCGCGAGGTGCAAGTGGGGGGAAGCCCAAACACCCTGAACGCAGCTCCCTCAACGGCTTTTGAAGTCACCGCGCAGCGCGCGGAGCGAAGAAACCGAGAGAGCCCTGACGAACAGCACTCGGTTTCTTAATGCGCACCCCCACTGTTGGACGACGATGGTGTCATCATGCTCCCCATCCCCATCTGTCATGAAGGAGACGGGCCATGAAGAAGACGAGGGGCCCGTGGATGGCTCAGGGAGGCCAAACACGCGAAACAGACCCCTCAGGACAGCTTCCCTCCGTGGTAACCCGATCGGGCCTCGGCAAGAGCGGGCAACATCGACTCGGGAAACCGCATCGGATCCAAGCGTTCGCCGCTTCGGCACGGAGTCTGAATCGGATCGGGCCGGCCGCGCCCTGATGCACCGCAGCGCCGTGCAGACATCGGGCCCGGGCCGCATCGGGCCGCCGGTGCATCGGAGAGAGGCAGATTTGGAGTCCCGAAGCGGTGCGGTGACAGACCGGGCGGTGACCTCGAAATCCCCCAAGACCTCACCGCACGGTCCGCAACCGCACGGTCTTGGGACCCTGGATGCCCCTGTCGCCAGAGACGTTCTCGGAGAACGACCCGAGTCCCAAAACCGTGCGGTGACCCCGAATCCCCACCGACTCACCGCACGGTGTGGTCACCACCCCGTTTCGGGGCCCCCGAGGAAGGAGGAGGCCCCCCCCCCACCCGGCCCCCCTGGAGCGCGCGGCGCATCACCGCGATTGGAGGGCCCACAGCGGGAACCAGCCCTCGGGGTCGTCAGCGCCGCCCTGAGCGGGCGTGCCGGCGCGGCCAGGCGCGCCGCCGCGGCCGCTGGCATCTTCCTTCGCATGTCTGCTTCTCCCTCCCTCCTCCCTCCTCCTCCTTCTCCTCCTCCTCCTCCTCCTCCTCCTCCTCCTCCTCCTCCTCCCCCGCTCCTCATCCCTTTTTTGTTGTTGTTGTTTTTTACATTCGGCAAACTTTGCACGTCGGCCGGGGGAAGTAGGTAACACCATGCAGTAAGAAGGCGGATCAAGTGGATTGGGTCCAGGCCCTCCGAGAGAATGACAAAACAACACGCAGCAAATGCGTACTTATTTTTAAAAGCAGGAAGGCGCCTAAAGTAGATTGGGATCCGGAGATCCAACAATACCTGCCAAGCTCGCTGCGCTCATCCTCCCCTTCCCCTTCTTCCCTCTCCTCCTCGCGGGAGGAAGGGGCAGAGAGGGGAGGAGGACGGAGGCGAATTCGGGAACGGGGGGGGAGGAAGGAGGGAAGGAGGCGAAGGAGGAAGGAGGAGGAAGGAGGGAAGGGAGGAGGAAGGGGCAGAGAAGGAAGGAGAAGGAGGAAGGAGCAAGGGAGGCGAAGGACATGCCGAGTTCGGGAACGGAGGGGGGCGCAGGGCCCTCCTCCACCCTGCGCCCGCGCTGCAGACGAGCGCGCTCCAGCATCCGCAGAGCAGCTAATCGCAAATGGCCTGGATCCGACGCGGGGGATCTACGATCCATTCCAGCGAGGCGAACGCGTATTTTACGGACGTTTGCGAGTAGGCACTTTGCGAGTAGTGGAACGCGCTCGGTGGCACTGGGAGACGAGGAGGACGGGGGAAAGGTGGTGGAGGATGCGGAAGAGGGGCGACAGAGGACCAACACCAACGCTGTCGTTGATCTGTTCACGATGTGGGGCAATCTTGGGTCGCTATGAATATCTGCCACCGTGCCTTGTGCACATTGCAACGTGTTAGAACCTGGGCCGGCACGGGAACGGAAAGAGCGCTTCAGACACTTGCCCGAGATGGCTCATGACACCGTTCCCTCTTGGGAGGCTTGGTGTTAAGAGCTCTTTGCGTTAGCGCTCGCCATTGGGAACCTTTGTGTGAACAGTGTGTCACGTCACTGTGGGCTCCCGGGAGCCTTGTTCAGAGCCTTTTTACGTCACCGCTCGCTCTTCGGAGCCTTGCAGGTCAGAGCTTGTAACGGCACCGATCCCTCTTGGAAGCCTTGGTGTGGAAAGCTTGTATGTCACCATGGGCTCTTGGAGTGGAGGTCGTGGTGTTCAGAGCTTATTACGTCAGCGCTCGCTCTTGGGAGCCTTGGTGTTCAGAGTTGCTCACGTCACCGCTCGCTCTGGGGAGCCCTGGTGCTACGAGCTTGTCACGTCAATGTGAGCTCGTGTGGGCCTTTGATTTTGGGCGTCTCCGGGCCTTGTTGGGAGTCCTGTTGGGCCCTCTTGCGGCCCTCGTGGGCCGACCTGGGCCCTTTAGGACAGTCGTGGGGCGTCTTGGGAGGCTTTGGCCGTCGTGGAGCTTTTTTGGGGGGCCTCTGAAGCCCTTCTCAGGAGCCTCATGGGGCTCACTGTGGGCTCTCGTGGGGACCTCTGAGGGCCTTCTGGGGACGTCTTGAAGCCCTTCTGGGCCCGTCTGGGGGCCGTCTTGGGGCGTCTTGAGGACCTTTGGGCCGTCTTGGGCCGTCGGGTGCCCGAAAAGGCGAGAACCCAAAAAACCCTATACAACCTGTCGGAAAGTCAATGTCTTCGGCCTCCTCAAGCCGCCTCGGTGGTCCTCTTGGGAGGCTCGTAAGCCGTCGTCGGAGCCTCTTGGGCCGTCATGGAATGCTTGTGTCGGCTTCGGGTCCTCTTGGGGCCGTCTCGGGTCCTTTTCGGCGCCTCCTGTGCCACTCGTGAGCTTTCCCGGGAGCCTCTTCGGGCCTTCTTAGGACTCTCTGAGGCCGTCCTGAGGCCCCTTGGGGCGCCCTAGTAGGGGCCCTCTGGGGCCGTCTTGTCGCAATCGCTGGGGCCCTCGGGGCTGTCTTCGCCTAATCTTGGCCCGAAACGGCGACCACCCAAGACACTATGGAAAATCAATGGGACATCAATGTGTGCTGCCTCCTCGAGCCATCTGAAGGGTCCTCTGGGGAAGCTCGTGGGCCGTCTCGGGAACATCGTGGGCCGTGTTTGGGAGCCTGGGCCGTCTTCGGGCCCCGTCGGGGCCCTCCTTGGCCCTCGTGGCGGCCCCTCATGGCTCTATGGGTCCCTTCGGGGGGCCTCTTGGGCCATCTGGAAACGATGTTTGGAGCCTAGTGGGCCGTCTTGGGCGGTTTTTAGCCCAGCGAGAACCCGAAACACCTTCAACACACAACGGAAACAGCCACTGAATTGTGCCTCTCTGGGTCCTCCTGGAACGCCCTCTTGGAAGCCTCTTGGGGCGACTCGGGGCTCTCTCTCGGACCGTCTCGATGCCATCTGAGGCCATCTGGGGACGCTCTCGGGCGATCTGGGGCTCTTTTAGAACCCCCTGGGGCCGTCTTGGAGCCCTCTGGGACCCCTCTCGGGGGTTCCTTGGGCCGTCTTCGGAGAATCTTGGGCCGTCTTGGGCGCCTCGGAGGCAGTCTTGGAAGGGAGGGGCGTTTTAACACTCTTTTCTGTGGCCTGCCACCCTCCCGTGGGCCCCTCCCTACGGGGCGTCGCCCCGCCTGAAAATCATTACTCGTATCTGGTTTATGTTGTAACCTGGGCCGGTACGGGGAACGGAAAGAGCACTTCAAGAACTCGCCCGAGAAGGCTCATGGCACCGTTCGCTATTGGGGGCCTTGACGTGAAGAGCTCTTTCACGTCACCGATCGCTCTTGGGACCCTTTATGTGAAGAACTCCTTACGTCACTGTGAGCTCTTGGGAGCCTGTGTGTAGCGCTTTTTACGTCACCGCTCGCTCTTGGGAGCCTTGGTGTTCAGAGCTTTTTACGTCACCACTCGCTCTTGGTGGCCTTGGTGTTACGAGCTTCTCACGCCACTGTGAGTCCATCGGAACCTTTGTTGTTTCGCGCATCTGGGCCTTCGTGGAGGCCCTCGTGGGTTTTTGGACCGTCTTGGGGGCCTCTTAGGCCGTCTTGGGGACATTCTGGGCCTCCGTGGGGCGTCTGAAAGGCCTTTAGCCGTTTTGGGGTCCTCTTGGGAGCCTCTTGGAGCTCTCTTGGGAGCTTCTTAGAGCTCTCTTGGGGGCCTCTAAGAGCCCTCTTGGGCCATCTTGGGGCCGTCTGGGCCCGCCCTGGGGCCCTCTGGGGCTGTCTTGGGGCCCTCTTTTGCCGTCTGGAGACGATCGTTCAGGCCTCTTGGGCTATCTTCGGCCGTTCTGCGCCCGAAAAGGCGAGACTCCTAAAAACCATCAAACACCTAAGGAACATCCATTTGGAGCATCCTGAGGCCCTCTCGGGGGTCCTCTTGGGAGCCCTCTTGTGCAGCAGGGGCGCGAACTGACTGGAAATTCGAGGCGGATCCGGCCGTGGGAACGAGGACGCCCCAGGACGCGAAAGAGAGAACAAGAGACGCAAATACACCTACTCCCTCGATCCTCGAGCTTCGAAGCTCACCCTCCAAATGAACGATGGTCATATCCATACTCATGCACTCGCGTGCTAGATACCGAGGCACAGTCCCATGGATACGCGATCCCACAGACACGTTCTGCGCGGGGCTCCCACGGAAATCCGCCGATCCGGCGTGTGAACTACAAGGAGCCTCAGCAAGAGCTTCAGCTCTGAGCCTAAGCAAGAGCTTCAGCTCTGCTTAGGGGGGGTCGCCGGGGTGGCTCTGCTGGGGGAAGGGGGGGAGAGGGGGGCGCCCCCATCTGGCGTTTTCTTAATGATTTGCGCATCCCCACCCTCCCCGGACCCTTCCCCGGGGAAGGAGGGAAGGGGGGGGGGGACGGTCCCCCATCAGGCGTTTTCTTAATGATTTGCGCATCCCCAAAATGTTTAGGGGGGTCCCAGAGACCCCCTCAGATCAAGCCGATATCGCCCCTAGGACCCTCCCCTCGGAAGCCTCCCCGGACCCCCCCCCGGGACCGCTCCAGGCACCCCCCCAGAGGGCACGTCAGCTCCAAAAAGCGTCCCCGACGCCTCCAAGAGCACCCTCCCTCCCAAACAGAGCACGTCAGCTCTAAAAAGCGTCCCCGACGACCCCAAGAGCGCCCCCCCCACCATCACCGCCACCGCGACCATCATAATCACCATCATCATCATCATCATCATCATCACCATCATCATCATCATCATCAGCATCATCAGCATCATCATCATCATCATCATCCTCCTCCTCATCATCATCCTCATCCTCATCCTCATCCTCATCCGCATCCTCATCCTCATCCTCATCCTCATCCTCATCATCATCATCATCATCATCATCATCATCATCATCATCATCATCAGTATCTCCATCATCATCATCATCACCATCATCATCACCATCAACATCACCATTATCATCAACAGCATCATCATAACCGTAATCGTAACCGTCATCGTCATCGTCATCGGAGCCCCCCCGGATCGGCGGCACTGGTCGGAGGCCATTACAATAGGCCCTGCATCCACGGGCTCGCATGCCCTTCCGGCGTTGGTTTGCCTCCTCAACGGATCTGGTCACCGCGGCCAGATGTTTAATGTTTATGCAGTCCGCACTCTAGACGGCAGTCCACAAAACGATGGACGGCCATGTTCTTGATCGCTGAGATATCCTTTCGCGTGTAACATTGAAACCACCAACCTTGCCTGGACACGCGCAAGAGTGGCCGGTAGGCAGGAGTGACCTTTGGGTTGCGCAGCGTCAGGTGGGCGCGGGGGGGGAGCAAATCCAAGCGAAGGCTAGTGCTGTAGACAAGCCCTGTTGGCCGCACCAACGGTCATTCTGGCGATTCGTCTCCCCTGCGCTGGAGGAGCAACAAACTACACTGAGGTCGGGCATTTCCTCCTACAGGCGGATTTTGGAAGAAGAATAAAAAATAGTCAAACAATGCTCAAACATGTCAAAAGAGCTCCAAAAATCGTCCACAGACAACTCTCTTACTTTTCTTGAATACTCTTCCTGTCGAGGGACATGCCCGACATACCACTACACATACACCGCAGATCGGCCCGCATCTCTCGGACGCGCGTCGCGCGCCAAGACATCGACGCGGACCTCCAAACATTCGTGCTAGGCATGCTTGTTCTTCTTCGATGCGCGTGGCAACCACCAGCGAAAAAATGAATCCACCCACAATGCCAGGCCAGGACCATATCCTGATACCGACCAGCCTCGGGCCAGGCGAAAGGGAGGGATAGCAAAGGGGAGGTTTGAGAATCAGCTCACGTAGCTGATTCTCCCGGCGCCTCCCGGCGCCCAGGTATCGAGGAATGGGCCCGGCGGCGGGGCCGAAACCAGCTGCATGCAGCAGATTTCGTAATCCCCCCTTTGCCTATCCCCCCCTTTTGTTCGGCCCGACCAGCCGCGAAGCAACTTCCTCCCAGACCTGGGTCGGCCAAGCCCCCCCTGCTGGTTCTCGGGCCGTTGCTCGGGCCTCAGGCGGCGGCCGCTCGGGACGGCCTCGGCATCCCCAGGACGCTCTCGACAAGGTGGAGCTGAGGGAAGCCATCCTGGGTCCTGCAAACATCCCCACAGAACATGCGAAAACTAACAACAAGAACTCGGCGTGCACCCCGAACCTTTCGCACACCCGAAGCCCCGGGCCTTCTCCACCTTGCGCCCGAATACCCAGCCGGAGGCGTGCTGCTCCTGGGCGGCGGCGGCGGGGGTGGGCGGTTGGCGGTCCACTCTCTTTTTCTCGCATTCTCTTTTTGTTGTTCCTTCTCTCTCTCTCTCTCTGTTTCCCCCTCGCTTTGTCCACAAGCGTTCACGGTGACAACACCATTGACAACCGACCGCGTCGACAGCGAAAACGAGACCGACTGGAACCGACAGGCCGCAAGCGGCCTTCAAGGGCGCAGCGACGCGGCAATGACACCAGAACCGACCCCGACAAAACGCAGCCGACTGCAAAGCAGCCGAGTCGACCGCACCACGGACACTTGTGCTCTATCTTTCTCTCTCTCTCTCTATTTCTCTCTTCTCTTTCTCTCTCTCTCTCTCTCTTTATGCGTTCCTCTAGCTTGCTCCCTCTTCTCCTTATTTGAACATGTATAGAAACACGTACACGTGTAGATATGTATGTACAATGATGTGAATCTAAAAATGTATGTGTATATATATATGTATATAATAAAGAATGAATGCGGGGACCGAATGGTCATTTACTGTCCCTGGGTGCGTGGCTGAACTGGGGCTCTGCGGTGGAGATTGTTGTTGCGGTGCTGTTTGGTATTGTTTGTTGTTGTTGGTGCTCCTGTTGTCGTCGTGACACTCGCGGCCGGCCCGCGACCCACCCGCGACCCGCCGCAACCCACCCGCGACCCACCAACGACCCACCCGCGACCCACTCGCGACCCACCCGCGACCCACCCACGACCCACCCACGACCCATCCGTCACCTGTGACCCAATCCTCGTCTGCCCTCTCACTCTTAACCGCAACTGCCAGGTGTTGTGTATACATATATAGATATAAATAACTGTCAGCCCCCGTACCTCTGGCACGAAGTGGAGTGCCCCAAGGCTCATGAAACACTGAGGGGTAGACGCAATGCTGCTTCTGCAACGAGACTTGCAAATCTTAAGGACCGGGACCAGCCGTGTCCCCAGCCTTCCAGGGGCTTCCCAGGCTGGCTCCCGTGAGTTCTGAAGTGTTTCCTGCGCCTCCTGTGGACGCTGTGCCCCCAAAGCGACCTCCCGAACCCTCCCATGAGTCCAAGGGGGCCCCGAGTCGCCGAACGATCGCTCCAAGACGCCCAAGACGGCCTAAAGATGTCCCAAGAGGCCTCCAAGTCGCCGCAAGAGGCCTCCAAGAACTCTCCCAAGAGGGCCCCAAGAGGCACAAACCATTGATTTGTCTTAATGTTTTGAAGGATTTTGGCGTTCTCGCCATTTCGGCTTTCCGACGCTCGAAGACGGCCCAAGAAGCCCTAAAGACCACCCCAAGACGGCCCAAGAGGCCTCCAGGGCCCAAGACGGCCTAAGAGCACAGAAAAATCTAGCATTCCGCCCAAAGAGGCCCAGGAGGCCCCAAGAGGCGCCAAAGAGGCCCCAAGAGGCACTAAAGAGGCTTCCAAGAGGCCCCAAGAGGGCCCCAAGAGGGCCCCAAAAGGCCCTAAAAGAGGCCTCAAGAGGCCCAAAAACGGCCGCCAAGAGGCTTCAAAATGTGTCTTCAAAAGCCTCCGAGAGGCCCCCCCACGAGATCCCGATGAACATCCAGGAGGCTGTATACCCACAAACCAAGCACGGTGGTGGGATGGGCCGAAGGCCATTCTGTATGTATGCATGCATGCATGCATGCATGCATGTATGCATGCATGTATGTATGTATGTATGCACACACACACACACATATATATATATTATATATATATATAAGAGATAGAGAGAGAGAGAGAGAGAGAGAGAGAGAGCGTGATCCACCGCCGCTTTACTGTGGAAAATTGCCAACCTTTTCCTCCGGAACCCGGGGTCTCCCCCCCCCCTCCGAAAATCCCCCCCCCCCTGCCGAACCCCCCCCCTACTCCCCCCCCTCCCCCCCCCCCCCCCCCCCCCCCCCCCTTCCCTCGAAAACCGGGGGGGTCACTACCGGTTCGAACCCCTTCCCCCCCCCCCCCCCCCCCCCCGCCCCCCCCCTTCCAGATCCGGAAAACCGTGGGGGGTCACTACCGGTTGAACCCCCCCCCCCCCCCCCTCCCCCCCTCGAAAACCGGAGGGGGATCACTACCGGTTCGACCCCCCCCCACGCACCGCCAGCAAACGACTCCCGGTCCCTACCACCGCTCGCATCACATCCCCCACTGTTGTTCCCAGCACCACTGTCCTCACCACCACTGTCCCCACTGGTTCCACCACCGTCCCTATTGTCCCCACCAATGCCCCCACCACTGTCGCACTGTCCCCACTGTTCCCACAACTGTTCCCACCACGGTTCCACTCTCCCCACTGTCTCCACGGACCCAACCACTGCCTATCCCCTGTCCCCACTGTCCCACTGACTCCTCCGCTGTCCCACTGAGCTGTCCCACTGTTTCCACCACTGTCCCCACTGTCCCCACCACTGTCCCCACTGTACCTCTGTCCCATTGTCCCACCGCCGTCCTCGCCACCGCCTTTACCAGTGTCTCCACCACCATTGTACCCTCCACTGTCCCAGTGTTTCCACCTCATTCCCACTGTCCCCACACCACTGTCCCCACCACCACCGTTCCCACCACTGTCCACTGTCCCCCCTGTTCCCACCATTGTCCCCACCACTGTCCCCACCACTACCGTCCCCACCACTGTCCCACTGTCCCCCCACTGTCCCCACCACTGTCCCGCTGTCCCCTCACCACTGTCCCCACCAACACCGTCCCCACCACTGTCCGCACCCCCACTCGGTTTTCGAGGGGGGGGAGGGGGTTCGAACCGGTAGTGACCCCCCCCCTTTTCATGATGAGCTGGGGGGGGGGGGAGGGGTTCGAACCGGGGGGGGGGGGGGGGTCGACCCCCCCCGGTTTTAGGAGAACACGCTCTTTCATACATATATATAATATATATATATATATATATATATATGTATATGCAGGTGGGTAGGTAAGCATGTATGCCTGCATAGTTACAGTGTGTATATATATATATATACAAATAAACAAACATAACTAAATGACGATATACATACTACATATATATGTATATATATACATGTATATACACATATATAGAGTGCCCGGTGCGGAACGTTCCCCCTGGGATCGCTCATCCTGGGGGGTTCGTGCAATACCGCCAGCGCGGGCTGGTACGAAACCCACGGGATGCACGAGCCCCCCCGGGAAAACCCTGCACCGCAGGTGCGGACCAGTACGAACCGCTCGGGATTTTGGGACTCTATGTGAAAATCGGAACCTCCGAGATGCTGGGGACCTCAGGGCGATTGTGGGAGCGCCCGGGGGGCGCTTACGCGCGCTTAAGAATCCCCATGAAATTCTCCGGATGCCATAAGAAATCCGCCAGAATTCCTGTGTCATCCCCAAAATCCTGGAGGATTCGTCAGGACTTGTCCGGGATCCTCAGAACTTTGAAATTTTAAACACTTCCCCCAGGAGTCTTTTTCAACGCCAAAAGGGAGACCGACTCCCTAATCTCACAAGGGTTGCACCCATCCCTCGCTCCCACACGAGGGGGGTCCTGGTGCGCCCAGTGCGCCCAGTACCGCTCCCTCTCCCCGAGGCCACATGTCCTAGTAACATGCGACAGATTCGCGCTCCCGAAGCCCAACTGCCTCCAAGACGACACAATATCGCCTCAAGACGGGCCACTCTGGCCTCAGGACGGCCCAAGTTTGCTTCAAGACGGCCAACGAGGCCTTCGAGGCAGCCCAAGAAAACCCAGAGAGTCTGAGGGACCCATGAAGCAATTTGTTGGGCTTCAGATAGGTCTGGTTATGACCTCCCCTGGTTCAAGATGGCCCCAGGGAGGGCCCAGGCGGCTTCCAAAATGGCCCCAGTAGAGCCCCAGTAAACTGCCGCCAAGAAAGAATCTCTCTTAGCGCGGTTAACGCCAGGGTCTACTCAGCCTGAACCCGAGCTTCGATTTGACGGCTGACCCCTCTCTTTGTTCTACTGCTTGCTCCGTCGCTTCCCTGATGAAAGCAACTCGAAAGAACTCGAGATGCCTAGCTTCTGGATGGGCTGGTGGGATTTCCTGTCGCAACCGCAGGCGAAAGCGCCAGCGGCGTCACGAGTCGGCTCGGGCTACGAGCGGAACTAATTGCCTGACGCGCGCGCAGGCATCAGCAGAACCTACCGCCGGGGGAAGCTGCTGCGCCGAGGGCAGCGGCTGCGACCGCCGAGGGAAGAGAGCGCCAAGGGTGGAGGCTGAAGCTGCTGGGGCTGCCAGGAAGCTGCAAGCGTGCGTCAAAAAACGCCCGCGTAGCGCCACGTTTCCCCACGCCCCCGACGGCTCATGGCACTGTCTGATGTTGGCCATCTCCCTTTTTCACTCGCTTCCTCCAACTGGACTCATCGACCCGTGACTGCTGAATATGCTGAATAATCCGGCCGGCCACCTTTACATGATATGGACGGCAACATACCTATCCCACATCCGTTTTGGTGACTGGTGTTCGTGTCCAACATGCTGCCGCGTTCCCCCCCGACAACTCCAAGTATTGACGATGTTGTCCGCCGCTCATCCCCTGCGCCACAAACTACCAACATATCCATATGTCAACCAACACCACCGAGAGATGCACCCGCACCTCTGAATCTCTCACCCTGCAACCGGCACCACTCGAAAGTGCATTCAACAGAAGACACACATACCAAGAAATTCACACAGAACCGCCAGGGAGAACAACACGATGTGGCAACAACATCCCCGACCCTCATCGATCCACGACCGGCCTCGAACCTCGATCCTCGTCGATCCTTGATACTCCCCGATCCTCCTTTGGTTGGAATTGCGTCAGCGTTCTTGGCAAAAGACGCTTTGCAAAGGACGCTTTGCATTCTCTCCGCGCAGCCAAATTCCTAGATGCGACGGCGTGCATGCAATGGGATGGCGGAAACAACCTCAAGACATAACGCATTGCCTTCAGTAAGCTCGCTGCCGCTATCCCGTTGCATGCTATCCTCGCCATGCACCAGCCCTTCTCAATTCTCGACC